GCTCGCAATAGCGCCCCACATACTCTCTCCGTAGTCCTCCTCCGCTGCTGCCTCTGGGTTCTCCTCACCCTTTTGCTGCTCCTTGGTTGCTGCACCACTCTCCTTAGGTTCACTGAACTTGCTGGTTCCTCCAGGTTTGCTCTTCTTGAGCTCATTCTCCTTAGCGCGACCGTTCGCGCCATCGTCGCTACCGACCGCTCCATCCTTGGTGCTGATGCTTGCTGCCACTTGCCTCTCCTTAGGCATAGGGACCACTGGGATCTGCCACATCTCGTTGTAGACATCCCTGTCCTCATGAAGGTCCCAAAGAATTTGATCGCCAAGCCTTGCGGTGTAGGTCTTGGCTCCCTTCGAGTTCGTGTCCATGCCGGCCTTTGCCAACCGCCGCACGGAAATCAGGTTTGCAGCAAGGCTGGGCACCCAAAGCACGTTCTTGAGGCCCACCATCTTCCCATCAGCACCCTTGAACATGGCCTTGCCCATGCCTTTCACCTCTGCTCGCTGCCCCAAAGCCGATGTGACATGCTTCACCGGTGACGGCTCGAGTTCGGTGAGCAAGTCCGGGCGAGGTGTCATGCTATAGGTAGCGCCACTATCAATCACCCAATAGTCCAGGGGGTGTAGGGTCACCTTCCCCACAGCTGCTGGCTCCTCAAAGCCTTCATCCTTCTCTGGACCAGCCGGTACTTGCGTCGACACGAAGTAGAATAGACCCGGGTATCGATCGTCGCTCGGGTCCTTGTCGTTGTCTCCGCTCTTCATGTTTGCAGCTCCGCCACCGCGACCGCCACGGCCTCCACGGCCTCGTCCTCTCCCTCCTCCTGCTCCTCTACCCTCTTGGCCTTGAGCAGGGGTCCAACCATCAGGGAGTTTGTAGCAGTCGCGCCACATGTGTCCGCTCTTGTGGCAATAGTGACACTCGCCGTCGAATCGGCCGCGACCGCGTCCGTAGCTCTTGTCGTCGCTGCCGTAACCGCCACTCCTGCGGCCTCCGCCGAAGTTGCTGCCACCAAACCTTCCTCCCCCTCGTCCTCTGCCTCTTCCTCGACCATATCCACGGCCAATGCTCGCTGCCCCAGCGCCATCCGCACTCGCCAACTCACGGCGGCGGAAATCCTCTTGAAGGATAGCTCGCTTCACGTCTTCAAGCGAGAGGCGGGGCAAGTCGCGATTAAGGTTGATGATGAGCGAGGACCATGACTCTGGGAGTAAGGCCAGCAACTTGGTCTTCTTTTGGAGCTCACTGTAGTTCAAATCAGCTCCCTCAAGCCGCGTCAACAAGTCGAAGAATTTCTGCACCCCTTCTTCAACCGCTTCGTTTTCTTCAATTCGTAGTGCCGCCATTTGCCGTTCCAACACCACCGCTACCGCCGCTGTTGCAGGAGCATGTACACCCTTGAGAGCAGCCCATGCCTTTGGTCCTTTCTCTGGTTCACGCTGGAATGGCTTGATGTGACGGATCTGACTGCTCCCCAACGCTTGCCCAAGTAAGAGATAGCCTTGTGCGCTCTTCCGCACCCACGGGCTCTTCTCCGGGTCATTCTCGGGGCGCTTCTCCGTTCCTTCCATCACCTCCAGCAGGTCATAGTGGTCAAAGATGTTCTCCATCTTGAAGGACCATTCAGCAAAGTTGTCACCGTTGAACTTGTCAAGCCCAAACACCCTAGGCTCATCCCTAGGTGGGCCAAGACTTGGTTGCATGGGCGCCATGGCTGAATCACGGGGTTGGCCTTGAGCTTGAGCTTCTCCACTGCCACCAGCACCTCTGCCACCCCTTTCCTCAGGTCCAGACATTGTCGAAACTGCTCCAAGGGGCTCTGATACCACTTGTTATAGTCACAATAGGCTTGAATGTGCCTAAAACGAAAGATAGAGAGCACAGACGGATTTCTGCACAGCGGCTTCAAACGTTGATAGCGTTCTTCTCACAGCTGCAAATGACTTGATTCAAATTGGATCTGGAGCGTCTTCACGTCTCTACAATTATCAATTTAGATTGCACGATTTGATAAAGAATTGACGACACAGCGTCGGTTTGAACGAACGGTACTATGGCAGCCACTATAGTCTTAGAACACAAGATAGGAAGAGTTACGAGTTGGGAATGACTCCCAGCTCCTACAAACCCCAAGAGCCGAGGTACAGTAATGTGGAACAGTGCCACACTGTCCCCAACCACGAAGGGTCTCGAAACTACCCTTCACTAGGGCCTACACCAAGTGAAATGTTACACTACTCAAAGTAATGTAACTATCTTCAATATCTTGAGGTGTACCCTTTTGGCGAGCTTCGAAATCACTTGAGGCTTGACACCAAGGCTCGGGCTCTTCATCACAAACTCATCCTTGAGTTCTTGATGGGTCTGCTGCACACACCTGCGACACGCCGAACGTTCGACACAGGACAAAATAGAAACCGCGCACGACAAAATAGAAACCGCGCGCGAGACACAAACGACCGCGTAACACGCGTCTAGCGATAACTCGCTATTGACTCGACACACACACTCGACATCATGACTCAACATTCACACACAATTATAAGCATGAAATATACATTATCCCATGCCCTCATACCATTCCATACACACACACATTCATGCACACGGACAACAAGCCGAGTGCAAACCGTAGGGTTGCACCAACAGTTGGGGTTGTCGGGGTGGCAGTAGTGGGAGTCGTCATGGAGTGGGTAGTTTGGGAGTTTCTTGTAGTGGCCCGGTGCAGCAGCAGCGTCGTCTACGCGAGGCTCTTTTGCCCCAGCAGCTTAGTGAGTGGTACGCTCAGAGTAGAGGGTCACTGAGTACTGCTCACTGCCCGTACGTCATTCGCACAGGTGTCCGGACTGGTCAGCCTTGCGGGACACGTGGTCACACAGAGTCCACTGCTTCGCCCGTCTGGGCGACGCTTGGCGTACAGAGCTTGGCGACGACGCTGAGCTCCCCGACTGGGTGGAGCTGCTTAGGCAGAGGGTAGATATCTTTGCTCTTGACTATGATGCTATCCTCACTGCCATGTATGCATTGTCTACTAGTGCTGAGAGTGCCTGTCACCTGTGTGTGCCGCCTGACCCCGGTATCCAGTCTGCTGCTCTAGGTACTGGTGAGGCTGCCGCACTAGGTGCTCGTGTGTCTGTTGCCTTAGGTGCTGGTGATGCTGCCGCTCTAGGTGCTAGTGTGTCTGTTGCCCCAGGTGCTAGTGAGGCTGCTGCTCTAGGTACTCGTGAGTCTGCGCCCTCTCGTACTGCGTCTACTGAGGCACTGCACACCTTCACACTAGACTCAGGTGCTTCTCGCTGTTTCTTTCGTGACCGCACTGCCCTTGAGCAGCTTGCTCGGCCAGTTGCTGTGTCCCTCGCTGACCTCTCTGGGGGTCTGGTCATTGCGACCTCCTCCACTATCCTCCCTTGTCCTGCGGTTCCGTCGGGCACACTGTCAGGTCTCCACCTCCCCTCGTTCTCTACGAACTTGGTGGCGGGTTGTGCGCTCCAGGACGGGGGTGTCCACCAGTTCACCCCTGCCTACGAGCGCGTGACACACTGCACGTGTGCTCGGACGGGCCGTCACCTGGCTACCTTCACTAGGCAGCCGGGGTCGGACCTGTACACACTGACCACTGAGTCCCCTCAGGTAGCTGCGTCTGCGTCTGCGTCAGGTCAGCTGTCGGCCCCCTGCTCGTGTCGCTCTCTGGCGCACGAGACCGTCCTCTGGCACCACCGCCTTGGTCACCCGTCCGTGCAGCGCCTTCGTGGCATGCACAAACGGTACCTTGTCTCTGGTCTTCCCAGGGTTCTACCTCCCCTCCCACCCTCGCCTGCTCCTCCCTGTCTTCCCTGTGTCGAGGGGCGGCAGCGCGCCGCTCCTCACTCCTCCTCGTTTCCCCCGACGACTGCTCCCCTGCAGACGCTCCACATGGACGTGTGGGGCCCAGCCCGCGTTTGTGGACAGGGTCACGAGAGGTACTTCTTGATAGTTGTTGACGACTACTCGCGCTACACCACGGTCTTCCCCTTGCACACCAAGGGTGAAGTCCCTGATGTTTTGATCCCTTGGATCCGCGCTGCCCGTCTCCAGCTCAGCGAGAGGTTCCACTCGGACTTTCCTGTTCTGAGTCTGCACTCTGACAGAGGTGGGGAGTTTTCCTCCGACCTCTTGCGGGCCTTCTGTCAGGGGGAGGGCATTGAGCAGTCGTTCACGCTTCCGGCCTCTCCACAGCAGAATGGGGTTGCTGAGCGCCGCATTGGCTTGGTCATGGAGGTCGCTCGTACCTCCTTGATCCATGCGGCTGCCCCCCACTTTCTGTGGCCGTTTGCGGTCCGATACGCTGCGCATCAGCTCAACCTCTGGCCCCGTGTCTCCGTTCCGGAGACTTCGCCGACACTGTGTTGGACGGGAGAGGCTGGCGATGCGTCGCGTTTTTGGGTCTGGGGATCTCGAGCTTTTGTTCGCGATACGTCCGCGGACAAGCTCTCCTCCCGCGCTGTTCCTTGTGTCTTCCTTGGCTTTGTCCCGGACGCGTCTGGTTGGCAGTTTTACCACGCCACCTCGCGCCGTGTCCTGCCCTCTCAGGACGTCACTTTTGACGAGTCGGTGCCCTACTACCGCCTCTTCCCCTACCGCACTGCCCCGCTCCCCCCCCCCGCCTCTCTTCCTCGCGCCAGGTGCTGCTGTGGTAGACCCCCTCCCCCCTCAGGGTGCCGCTCCCTCAGGTGTGTCCCAGGTAGACCCGGTTGAGCCTGTCGAGGTAGCTGTCGACTCTCGTCCTGCTAGGGGTGCTGAGCCTGAGCGTGCGGAGCCTGGGGGTGCGGAGCCTCGGGGTGCGGAGCCTGGGGTTGCGGAGTCTGGGGGTGCTGAGCCTGGGGGTGCGGAGCCTGCGGGTGCTGAGTCTGGGGGTGCTGAGTCTGGGGGTGCTGAGCCTGGGAGTGCTACGTCTGAGGGTACTGAGCCAGAGGGTGCTGCGACTGAGCGTGCTACACCTGGAGGCGCTCTCTCCTGACAGCAGCTGCGTGAGTGGTACTTACAGTACTGCAGCCTCAGGAGAGGTGCTTCTGGAGCTAGGGGAGCTGCTGGAGCTGGTGCTCGTGCTTCCCCTCCTAGGCGGGAGCTGCCCTCTCCCCAGCGGCTCCGAGAGTGGTACGCTCGGCGCTGCAGTCTCCGGAGTGGCGCTACTAGTGTCGCGGACCCTGGAGCTGGAGCTGCTGTTGGTACTGGTGCTGCTGGTGCTGGTGCTCCTGGAGCTGCTGGAGGTGCTGCTGCTGCTGGCGGTGCTGCTGGCGCTGCTGGAGGTGCTGCTGGTGCTGGTGCTGCTGTAGCTGCTGGAGGTGCTGCTGGAGCTGCTGGAGGTGCTGCTGGTGCTGGAGCTGCTGGAGCTGCTGGAGGTGCTGCTGGTGCTGGTGCTGCTGGAGCTGCTGGAGGTGCTGCTGGTGCTGGTGCTGTTGGAGCTGCTGGAGGTGCTGCGGGTGCTAGAGCTGCTGGAGGCACTACTACTGCTGGCGGTGCTGCTGGAGCTGCTGGAGGTGCTGCTGGAGCTGCTGGAGGTACTGCTGGTACTGGTGCTGCTGGAGCTGCTCGAGGTGCTGCTGGTGCTGGAGCTGCTGGAGGCACTGCTGCTGCTGGCGGTGCTGATGGAGCTGCTGGAGGTGCTGGTGCTGCTGGTGGTGCTGCTGGTGCTGGAGCTGCTGGAGCCGCTGGTCCTGGAGGTGCTCGTACTGGAGGTACTGGAGCTGCTGGGACTGGAGCTGCTGAGGGGGTTGGAGCTGGAGGTGCTGAGCGGCCGCGGCCGTACTACGTTCCGCTCCTTCAGCAGGTTCTTGGTCTCCCGCCCTCTACTGGTCCTACTCCTCCCCTACTGAGTCCACCGCCTATCCAGTCGCAGTCACAGTTACAGCCTGCCTCTCCGCTGCCTGGTCCTTCTCCTTACACTACGCCGACGGGTAGTCTTACGGAGCGTCGTGAGCCTGAGTCTCGTCCTCCGTCGCCTGAGTCTAGTCCAGAGTCGCCTGAGTCGCGTCCAGAGTCGCCTGTCCGCGCTGTCCGCGCTGGTCGTCGTGCTCCGCGTCAGCGTCCTCCTCCTGTCCTTGGCACTCACTATATGACCCTGCGTCCTTCCACTGCTCCACAGCGTGTCCCTCTGCCGTCTCCTCCTGCGTCCTCTCTTCCTGACGTTGCTGACCCGCCGTCAGACCTTGCTCGTGCTGCCAGTCCTACTGTCACGCGTTTCCTCGCTACTGTTGTCACTGACCCTACCTTTGAGTCCTCTGCTGCGTCTGCTCTAGTCGCTGAGCTTGTTGACTTTGCTGCCGCCTGTCGTCTAGACTACGCCGCTAGCCTTGTTGCTGAGTCTGAGTCTGTCTGTCCTCCGTCCGTCGGGGGTGAGTGTGCTCTTGGCACGGACGTCCTTGAGGACAGACAGGAGGAGTTTGAGTGCTTTGCTGCTGCTTTACCTCATCTCGTGTCCATGCTGATTGCCCCTGAGGGAGACCCGGATGCACCAGACATCCCGACCCCACGCTCTTACGCAGAGGCGATGGAGGGTCCCTACTCCTCTCAGTGGCAGACAGCCATGGACGCAGAGATGGCTTCCTGGAAGTCCACAGGCACCTACGTCGACGAGGTTCCCCCACCTGGGGCGAACATCGTCAGTGGCATGTGGATTTTCAGAGTGAAGCGGCCACCGGGTTCTCCGCCTGTCTTCAAGGCGCGGTACGTTGCACGAGGCTTCAGTCAGCGAGAGGGAGTTGACTTCTTCCAGACCTTCTCCCCGACCCCGAAGATGACCACTCTTCGGGTTCTGCTGCACGTCGCCGCTCAGCGTGACTACGAGCTCCACTCTCTTGACTTCAGCACTGCGTTCCTACAGGGCAGCCTGCACGAGGAGATCGGGCTGCGCCGCCCACCTGGCTTCACTGGGTCGTTTCCTGCTGGTACCCAGTGGAGCCTCCGGCGGCCAGTCTACGGTCTCCACCAGGCACCCCGTGAGTCGCACGACACCTTGAGGACTACTCTTGCTGCTCTTGGGTTTGCTCCTTCCACTGCTGACCCGTCGCTGTTTCTACGCACCGACACCACTCTGCCGCCGTTCTACGTTCTAGTGTACGTAGACGACCTGGTCTTTGCTACTGCTGACACTGAGGCACTCGCCCACGTGAAGTCGGAGCTGCAGAAGAGACACACGTGCACAGACCTGGGTGAACTGTCAAGCTATCTTGGCTTGCGGATCACCCGGGACAGAGCACAGCGCACCATCACCTTGACTCAGTCACACATGGTGCAGCAGGTCCTTCAGCGCTTCCGCTTCACGTACTCCTCGCCTCAGCCCACTCCTCTGCCTACCGGTCACTCGCTCTCAGCTCTGCCTTCGGATGAGTCCGTAGAGCCGAGTGGCCCGTATCCAGAGCTTGTGGGCTGCCTCATGTACCTGATGACCTGCACTCGACCTGACCTTGCATACCCTCTTAGCATCCTAGCACGCTATGTCGCTCCTGGCCGTCACCGGAAGGAGCACATGGATGCCGCTAAGAGGGTGTTGCGCTACTTGTGCAGTACGTCGGGCATGGGGCTTGTGCTTGGAGGACGGAGAGACGTTGTCCTCACTGGGCACTCAGACGCTTCTTGGGCTGACGACCAGGCTACGCAGCGGTCGTCTCAGGGTTACACCTTCAGTCTTGGCTGTGGTTCAGTTTCTTGGCGTTCTACACGCTCGTCTTCAGTTCTCAGCTCCAGTTGTGAGGCTGAGATCTACGCCACAGCCATGGCTGCACAGGAGTTACGCTGGCTCACCTACCTGCTGACCGACCTGGGAGAGCGGCCTCGTTCTCCTCCAGTGCTGTACATCGACAACAAGGCCGCCCTTGCCTTGTGTCAGGAGCACAGACTGGAGCACAGAACGAAGCACATCGCTCTGCGCTACTTCCTTGCTCGAGAGCTGCAGCAGCGTGGTCAGCTTCGTCTTTCGTACGTGGCCACTCGGGCCAACACTGCTGATGTGTTCACCAAGGCGCTTCAGCCTTGTGATCATCAGCGTTTCTGTACTGTTTTAGGCCTTGTGCCTACTGTCCCTCACTTGCTCACTTCTTGACTCTGCTTGTACTGTGATCTCTATATATATACCTGCATGCTTACACTTGCTAGGTTGTGATCACTGTACCTCTTGTTACATTATCAAACTGCATGTGAACTGGTCTTGTGACCATTTGCTTGTGCTCGGAATTTGTGTGGTATCCTTGAGATCCACCCTGAGCTTGTTTTGCTTTGCTTTGCTCTGACTGGTCTTGTGACCATCTGGTTGTCTCCCACTTAGCCTATGGGGGTGTGTCAAACATTGTATATGTTTATATTCTGTAGGCTATAGTGGGTTTAGCCTTAGGGGGTACAACATTATAGGGTTTCCTACTTGTACTCCCAATCTTGTTAGTCCAATCACCCTTGTTCATTCTGACACGAGTGCCTGGCCACGCTGCTGCAACTCACGCAGAAGGAAGTAACGAAGCTGGATGTGCTTCGCCTTCCCAACCAGTCGGGGCTCCTCACACAACAGGACAGCAGACCTGTTGTCGGCGAACAAGACTGGGGGAGAGCGAGGCCGCTCACCAAGGTCGGTGAGAAGGAAAGACAACCAGCGAAGCTCCTGAGCGGCCATGGCCGCAGCGTACACCTCTGCCCCACAGCTGGAACCGGCGATGGACGACGCTCGAGTCGACCGCCACGAAACAGCACCTGTCCCGAGGCTAAAGGAGTACCCCTGTGTAGACCGACGCGTCTCCGCGTCGTCGGCCCACGACGAGTCTGAGTAACCTGTGAGTGTAACTGGCTGCTGTGAGAGTACGACGGCTTATGCTGGCTTTGCTAGCTTGCCTGGACTTTATTATGCTATTACTAGCTTAGGTTTTATTTATCATGCATAGTTAGGCTTGATTTCCTAGGTTAGGTGCATTCCTATATGTTATTATAGTTATAGCACCGAACCAGGTTACGTGTACCGAACTCAAGCCTTTCGGTTCCCACCGAATTGCTTTCTACCGAGTTTGGGAAGGTTCTGTTCGGGACGCTTCACGACCCTCGGAACATTCGCGTAACACCTGGGTTACCTGCCTTGTGTCGAGCCTATATATAGCCTCGTGTTGTACCCAGGTGGATCATTCAATTCAAACTCTCTTTTCTGAGCTCGATCCAGATCCTCACACTTGGTAATCAGAGCCGTTTACACGCGAAGTTTTTTCGACCACTAAAACCGAGTCTTCAAAAACCGCGGGGCGACCACTGTTAAACACCGATTTCGGGTACGTAAAACCGGTTCCGTGTTTTTCACTCCCCCTCATTTTCGGTTTTCGGACGCGCAATGTCTGGGATGGAGGGTCAAGGCGACAACTACGCGACCACCCACGACATCGCCAGCCTTCGCACCGACGTGGAGCAGACGCAGGCGGCGATCAGGCGAATTGAAGCCCTCCTGACAAACCAATCGGTAGCCGCCACAGCAGCAGTCAATGCAGCAGCGAACGTAGCAGCGACGGCAGCAGCAGCAGCGGCGACACCGACAATTCACGGACCAGTGGTGCCACCCTCGCCGAACCTCGAAGCAGCTCGCCCGAGGCTCCCCGAAGCGTTCGATCCAAGCGCGAAAGGATCGGACGTTCGACGATTCGTGGCAACCCTCGAAATTTATTTCGAGGCCATTGGCTGTTCGACCCCGACACAGGATGCAAACAGGATTCGGCTCGCAGCGACACTGTTGCGAGGACCAGCACTCGAGTGGATTTACTACAGTGACGTGGCCCGCGGGGAGAAAACGTGGGCGCAGTTTGGGGCAGACCTCATCGAACGTTTCGAGCCATTTAATTCGACGTATATGGCGCGGCAGCAGATACACCGACATAAACAGTACGGGAGCGTAGCACAGTACACGCAGCATATGGAGCAGCTGTTTAACCGCATCATCGACCTGACCGAGGGCGAAAAAATCAAGGCGTATACCGAAGGGTTAAAAATGGAGATTCGCCGACAGGTCATCGCCGCGAACTACAGTAGCTACCGCGACATCGTACGTGCAGCCGAACGATACGACGCATTGACTCGAGGTCAACCCGAAACATGACGCTACGGACCGAACCGTACATTTGGCACGGAGCGATCGGCACCCCCCACGTTCGCCGAACAGATGGAAATCGACAAATTTGAAGCGAAGCAGCAGCTGACAAAATGCGAATTTTGCGGCGAAGCGGGAAATCAATTTTTGTCGTGCTACAAAATGAAGAAAGCACGTGCGGCACTGCTAGGCGGCAACAGTACAGCACCCCCGAAGTAAAAAAACGGGAATCGCCAGTAGCCGCGGATCGACCTGGCGATCGCGTAAAGATCCGAAAAGGGAAAAAAGGCGACGACGTGGCGACTTCGGAGCGGGCGAAAAAAGGAGAAAATGATGGCGCGAATATAAAATGTCACGACCGGTCGGCAACAGGGGAAATCGTCGAGGCGAATGGAGACTCCGCGAAAAAAGACCCTGCACCGACCGGGAAACTCCAGCCGAACACCCACGAAAGTAAGAAATCGTTAAAGTTATCCTACAAAGATACTTTAACAAAGAATATTACTTCTCGTGGTTTACAAGCCTTTGAGAAATTCAGGGGAGAGGTAGAGGCCAAGAAAAAGCCTTTAGAGATTATTCAGGTACATGAGAAGCTGGGCAAAGTATTACGGAGCGTAGAAAAGGGTCGTGCGTTCCGTGGAGTTAATATTCTCTCCCAGCACCACAGTGTTAAGGCTCCCCGTTGCCCACAGGTGAAGCCTACACAGCTGCAAAGGCTTAGAGGAAAATTCCAGGCTCAGGAGAAGTTGATCAAGCCTCGGAAAAATCCTCCTACCCCCCAGGTGAAGTTGGAAGTAAAAAGTGCTGAGTCAGGTATAGGGAATAGGGATGGTGTTCATTTTGATGTACCCTATGATCCTATTAATGAGACCCTCTTTGGCTACTCAGCGCAGCAGAAACCACTACTCCTCGAGGTGTTATGCAAAGGACGGCGCCTCCAGGCACTGGTGGACACCGGTGCATCTCACTCAGTATGTGACCGCGGGACGTTGGAGAAAATTGGAGAACCTTCGGAGGAGACCAAGTTCACGGCAACGATGGTGGACGGTACGAAACTTCCCATCCACGACGAAGCATCACTGCAGCTGCACATAGGGGCACTGAGGTGGAAGCCGACGTTGCCGATCACGAACATCAAGGGTTTAGATTTCATCTTGGGGCGAGATTTCTTGAAGCGGTTCAACCCCGAGATCGATTGGGTCAACAGGAAGGCATGCATCTACAACAACGGGAAACGAGTGGAGATGCAAAGCTGGACGGATACAGGGAGCGTTCCTGAAACGACAATGGCACGGTTCGAACAGACGGTGAACGAGAGTAACACGGGTTACTTAGCACTGGTTATGGCAGCAGCAGAGGAGGAAAAGCCGAGTCCGGAGCTACCTGCAGCAGTGAAGGAGGTCTTGGAGCAGTACAAAGATATAATGCCCGACGACCTACCCGCAGGCGTACCTCCAGCACGCACCCACGAGCACGAGATCGTGGAGGAACCAGGTGCAAAACCCGTCTCACGTGCACCATACCGCCTGAGTCCGACCGAACTGACAGACATGAAGAAGCAGATAGAGTATCCACTGGACAGACAACTGATCCGCCCATCCACCTCTCCCTACGGTGCACCAGTTCTCTTCACTCCAAAACCAGGCGGCGGTTTACGGATGTGCATCGACTACCGCGCACTGAACAAACAGACAGTAAAAAACAAATACCCCATACCGCGCATAGACGATCTTCTAGATCAACTTCGTGGTGCAACAGTCTTTTCGAAGCTGGACCTACGGTCGGGTTACTGGCAGATCAAGATGGCGGACAACTCGATCAACAAGACGGCGTTCCGTACCAGATACGGCTCCTACGCATATTTGGTGATGCCGTTCGGACCCTGCAACGCACCAGTGACGTTCCAGGCAGAGATGAACCATATCCTACGGCCCCTGCTGGACGAGTGCGTAGTGGTGTATCTGGACGACATACTCATCTACTCCAAGAACAGGAAGGAGCACCTAGAGCATCTGCGGAAGGTGTTCGAGATTCTGCAGAAAAACAAGTTCTACGTGAAGCTATCTAAAAGCGACTTCGCCCTGAAGAAGGTGCAGTTTCTTGAGCACATGGTGAGTGCCGAGGGCGTACACGTGGACCCGCGGAAGATCGAAGCCGTCAAGAAGTGGAAAGTACCAGAGAACGTGAAGGAGTTGCAGCAGTTCCTAGGCCTCGCCAACTACTACAACAGGTTCGTGCCGCAGTACGCTAAGATAGCAGCGCCACTGACCGACCTTCTGAAAAAGGATACGCCCTACAAATGGGATACTCCTCATCAGCAAGCCATGGAACATCTACAGACAGCACTGACTACAGCACCAGTACTCATCTTACCGGATCCAGACAAAGACTACGTGGTGGAAGCAGACGCTAGTGACCAAGCGGTCGGAGCAGTACTGATGCAGGATCACGGACTCGGTTTGCAGCCCATCGCCTACCTCAGTAAGAAATTACACGGAGCAGAACTGAACTACCCCATCCATGACAAGGAAGCCTTAGCGATAGTCATAGCCTTCAAGGCATGGAGGTGTTACCTAGAGGGAGCCAAGACTACAGTCTATACTGACCACTGCAGTCTCAAATACCTGAAGTCGCAGCCGACGCTCTCACGACGACAGGTGCGGTGGATGGACTTCCTGGAAACTCACTTCCACTACGACATCATCTACAAACCCGGGCTACACAACAAAGCAGACGCGTTGAGCCGCCCCGGTCATGTAGCAGGCATCCAGCTCGACGGGATGAACCCTCTGCTCAAGGGTCTATTCCAACATGGATACTCCGTGGATGCAGAGATCGCTACAGCAGGGAAACAGAAGCTGTTACAGTGGGAGAATGACTTAGCTGTAAGGAAGGGTTTAGGAAAGATTTGGGTACCGAACTATGCCCCGCTACGGCAGATCCTACTAGAGGAGTTTCACGACGTACCATACGCGGGACATTTCGGGAGCAAC